AGGAAAAACAGAGAAATGGAAAATGATATAGAAAAGAAAGAAAAAGTTATGAGATCAAGAAAAAATGGCAAGAAAAAGGAAATGGCGTTTATAGTGTATTGTTGCTTTTTTTAATATTTTTATGAAGAGAAAGAGACAGATGAAAAACGGACTATGAGAAGAATATTTTTGTAGAAAATCAAAAAAAAAAAAAATAAAAAAAGAAAGAATGAATGAGAGAAAAAAACGAAAAAAGTGAAAATAAAAATCATTAAAAAAATATATGAAAAAAAAGTAGAGAATAAATATATCTATCTATCTATCTATCTATATATATCTATCTATCTATATATATATATATATATATATATATATATATATATATATATAGATATATTGAGAACCAGAGAGAAGAAAGAAATTAAGAAAAAAGAAGCAAATTGATAAAAAAAAATGTAAAAAATAAAAAAGAAAAAAAAAAGAAAAGCACAAATCAAAAAGAAAGAAGGAAAGAAAGAAAGATAACGGAAAAATAATACAAGAAAAAAAAGAGGAGAAAATAAAAATAAGAAATGAAAATAATGGGAGAAAAGCGAAAAATAGGAGAAAAAGAAGACAATGAAAAAAAAAAAAAATTTAAAAAAGAATTATGGTAAAAAGAAAAAGAAAGACTAACAAAACGTAAAAAGGAAATAAGTCCTTTAAAAAAAAAAGAATTATAAAGAAAAGGCAACGAAAGAAAAATGTAAATCGAAGAAAAATGAATGAAAGTACAAAAGCTGAAATAAAAACAAAAGAAGAAGAAACAAAAATGGTCCAAAGTTAGATATAAATAAAAGAAAGAACAAACAAAATAACGATGCAGAGACGAAAGAAAGAAAAAAGAATGAATGAATGAATGAGAAAAACAGAAATAATCGCTAATAATATCAAATGAAAGTAAAAGAAAAAGAAAGAAAAGCGAAAGAAAAAAAAAGAAGGTAAAAACGAAAGAAAAAGAAAAAAACGAAAAATTGATGCAAGTAAAAACAAAAAAAAAGTAATTAAGAAAAAAAATGACGCAAAGACAAAAAAAGCAAAAAATAAATGACAAAGATAAAAGATGGCGAGGAAAAGATATAAAAAGGATGAAAATAAAAGGCAGAAAAAAGACAGGAACAAAAAGAATAGAGTATAAATAAAATCGATGCAAATAAAAGAAAGAAATCTTTAAGAAGAAAGAAAGAAAGAAAGAAAGAAAGAAAGAAAGAAAGAAAGAAAAAAAAAAAGAAAGTCTGGTGGGAAGTTCTGGAAAGAAAGAAAGGCAGTAAGGATGATCCAGAAAGGAGAAGCAAAGAAAGAAAGGAAAAAAAAAAGAAAGAAAGAAAGAACGAGCGAAAGGAAGAAATAACAAGAGGGAAAAGAAGCCAATAAATGTAAGAAAATCGCAAAAGGCATGGAATGGTACGGACACTAAATAAGCAATAAGGAATAATAAAACACTTGGAACGAGAAAAGTGGATGGAAGAAGGGAATGTGGGAGTGGGTGGGGAGGTGAGGAGACGTGTTGTGCGATGGAAGCGAGGAATGAAACTTCTCCGCCGGAAATATATTGAAAGAGAATGGACTGATTATGGCGGGAAACAAATGACGGGGAAATAAAGAATATCTAATGAACAAGAGCTAACAAGTGGCATTACGTGACGCACTGATAATGGGCACCATATGCACACGGTTTTGGAAAATACGAAAAAGAGAACCGGTTGTATGTACACCTGAAGAAGGGAATATACACACATAAATAGCGCGTGAGCACGCGGTAATCAGTGTAAATGTATCCAATATATGCAAGTGAACATGCAAATAAATCTATCTATCTATCTATCTATCTATCTATCTATCTTAGTCTCTTCATATCTATCTATTATCTATCTATCTATCTATCTATCTATCTTAGTCTCTTCATATATATCTATCTATCTATCTATCTATCTATCTATCTATCTATCTATCTATCTTCTCACTTATATATCTATTTATCTACCATGCAAGCAAGAAAGCTAAGTAACAATGTGTTAATATCTATATGTTCGCCTGTCTGTTCATATCTATCTATCTATCTATCTATCTATCTCTGTTCTCATATATATATATATATATATATATATATATATATATATATATTTTTTCACTTATCTATCTAGCATGGAAGCAAGAAAACTAAGTATCGATTTGTTCATATCCGTATTTTTCTGTCTGTTCATATCTATCTATCTCTATTCTCACCTATCTATCTATCTATCTATCTATCTATCTATCTATCTATCTATCTATCTCTTTTTCTCAGCTATGTAGGTTAGCATTTTGCTACGTATCGATGTGTTTATATCTATGTGTTTATCTGTCTATCTGTTCATATATATCTATCTATCTGAGATTTTTATCTGTGTCAATCTGTTTCCATCTATCTATCTATCTATCTATCTATCTATCTATCTATTTTTTCTTATCTATCCCATTTTGTTTTTATCTCTCTATCTAATTAGATGCGGCTTGTTGAGTTAGCTTCATATTTGCCTCTGGCATTATCTTGAATGCAGATTTTCACAGCAGGAAGACATGCAATTCTAGATTGGAAAATTACCCAGATTATCTACACAAAGTTATCGCAAATATGTTTGCGTGCGTAAGCCCTTGCGTAGATTACTTGAAAGTAACACCGTGAAGTATATTCTGAATAAATTATTTTGGAGAATAAACATAGAACGCATACAAATTCAACACACACACACACACACACACACACACACACACACACACACACACACGCACACACACACACACAATATATATATATATATATGTTTGTGTGTGTGAGTGTGTGTGTGTGTGCGTGTGTGTGTGTGTGTGTATGTGTGTGTGTGTGTATATATGAATGGATATTTTATCTGACATTATTTCTTATAAAATGTCCATTCAAAAATTACTGTGGTTTACATTTTGAGTAAAAAACTGAGTCAAGCAACATAAATTCGTAGAAGTCCCAACGAGAGATTGAAATTCCCTAAATAAGTAATTCAAAAATCCTTCTGTCAACTGGGCCTCCGTGTCCGAATTGGTAAAGGCACGTTTGGGCAATAGAAACCGTTTCATTGATGAAAAAATTCATACAATTTTGAGTTTTGTCTGAGGCACAATCTTTCTTTAATAGGATTTTTCGATCTAACCAGTTGTTTTTAATTTCACTGTTTAAATATCGTAAGTTCAACCATGTTTTCATTTTCACAGGGATTCTCATAAAGACAGTTCTTGAAATTCCACTCCCTTTCAGGAACTCTCCTTGAACATTGTCCATAATAAATGTTTCTGTGCCATTTTATTCATTCCCTTGATTATTTATTTTCTTAAGCAATGCAACTCTTGTAGCTTTTGTTTGTCAACACGCGACACATTCTTAACCTCAAATACTGACGCTAAACCAATCACAACAGTTCGTTAATTGTACGAGAAAATGAAAGCATTGATGGCGCATATCCTGAAACCGCTCTAAAAATTGACGATGTATGTAAAAGTTATGAAAATGAAACATTTAGTATAGGAGATAAGAAAAATTTAACATAGGGGTAGTTTCGCGCATCACCGCAAGCTGCTATTAAACCAAAACATTGACATGAAATCTCAAGACATGTTCTTAAATAGTCAAGTCAGATCGAGACTTTCATATGGATGTCATGTATAGCATCAAGCCCGTCCAGGAATATCTAAACAGTCAACTGTATACAAACGCTTTTGCGAATCGATGATTAAAAATGTTTTCCAACGATAGAAGCTTGTAGGTTTTAATAAGGACTATCCTTCTTCGAACCACGCTCACCGACTCTACAGAATCATAAGCAAAAAAAAAAAAAACATGCTAAATAACAGAATCTACATCAGTCTAGGACTTTCAACAACAGCAACAGCTAAAATGGATAGCAAGTGTAACCCGACGAGAAAATGATGACATAAACAAGAGGCTGATATTCCACACGACTTCATGCAGAAGGTCAGGAAGGAATCACCCATCAATACTGGAAAGCGTAATAACAAGTAAAGAAGTGCAGTGACGTATTTGCTAGAAAAATTGTTTTAAGAGAAAGATTTTATAAATTTCAACCGACAGTAGGCCTGGCTGCTTCGTCAATGAAGGCTGAATGTTTCCTTATAAAAAGTGTCCAGAATACATTACCCAGATAGATAACAATTACATTACAGCAAGCAAGGTTACTAGTTATTATTCTGTGTTGAAATGTGTTATGAGATTTTCATAAATTCTCTTAAATAATATCTCATGATTGCAACCAGAAGAGAGTCGTTTATTTGTTCTTCTTATGTTACAATAAGTCTGATCTAGAAAAAATTAAGCAAGAAAAAAAAAGTTAGCCAAAAAGTACAGCCCGCTTCATTTTTACTAAGAAGTGCTACGAAATAGAATATATACCCTTGTGCAAATTAATTGAAACAAATCGAAAAATTCCGTTATTATTTTTTCGTATTTTTCCAGTGAAATATGACCCAGTTCACATGTTAGTACTTCGTATGTCCATTCCACGAAGTCGTTCCTTGCAGACTGACCCCAGATTCTCGATTGGATTTAAATCAGGAGAGTTTCCGAGCCAGTCTATAGTACTTTGATTTGCTCATTGGTAAGGCTTGCCATTATCTTTGCGTAATGTTACAATTTTCATACGCTCCCCTGGAGTAACGTTCAACGAAGACAATGGCTGTAGGACAACTAATCGACAGTCGAGACAATAGTGTCTGGGCGTGATAAAAATCTGATACAATTCAACATCGGATTGATAGCAATCTTCAAGAATTTAACGAACAGACAATTAAATTGCTGCCGCCAAAAATATCCAGAATATATTACTCAGATAAATAACAATTATATTACTGCAAGCAAGGTTACTAGTTATTTTTCAGTGTTGAAATTAGTTTATCATAAATTCTCTTAAATAATATCGTATAATTACAACCAGAAGAGAGTCGTTTATTTGTCATTAGTGTTTCTTATGTTTCAATACGTCTAATCTATAAAAATATTAAGAAAAGAAAATGAAAAAGTTAACCAAAAAGTTCAGTCGCTTCATCTCAGAAATATAGACACATAATAAAGATGCTGACATTTCCCAATACTTCAAATAAAAGCTTTGGTAGGAAAAATCCATATATATTAACGTTCCACACTATTTTAAACAAAAAGTTAGGAATTAAGGCCCCCATCAATACTGGAAAGAGCAAAAATACCTACGGGACCTGAAAAACATATTTTACTGAAAAATTGCCTCAAGAGAAAGATTTTATAAATTTCAAACGACAGTAGCCAATGAATGCTGAATGTTTCCTTATAAGGAAACAGCTAATATTACCCTTATCATATTGTTATAATTATTGAATTTTATTTGTATTTATTGTTGATAATCTTTTACTGCGTATAAGCTCTACGTTAAGAATGATTGTCTTGCTTGTCTTCCATCAAAATCATTTGATAATATATGAAAAAAGAGAAAGATATTGAACAAGAAAGAAAATTATTGATTTTAATTATGATGCAATCAAACTGATTCATAATAATGTCGTTGATTCAACATTGGACTGATAGCAATCTTCAAGAATTTAACGAACTGACAATTAAATTGCTGCCGCCAAAAAGAGTCCAGCATAAGGCAATACTTCAAATAAAAGAAAAGAAACTCCCATTAATATTGGAAAGACCGATAACAACTACTGGATTTGAGAAAACCTATTTTCCTGAAAAAGTGTTTGAAGAGAAAGGGTTGATAAATTTCAACTGGAAGCAGTATTGTTTGCTTGATCAATAAATCCTGAATAATTCCTTATAGGGAAATGGCTAATATTACCATTGTCATAATATATGGGATATTTAATGTTGTATATCAGCTTTATAGGACGGACATTACAGTGTATTAATAAATAGGTTAACATTAATATAGCTTACACCAGAGTCTAAAAGATAGACAGAGGTACAATTTACAATAAGATTAAAAAGGTAAACTTTATACTAGATTACAAAATACGCAGAGTTATTGTTTACACAAGAGTAAATAAAAAACCCAGTTTCTAAAGATCAATAAGATAGACATAGCTCTGATCATATCAGAACTGAAAATTTCCGGTTTGAATAATGTTAAGCAGAGGCCCAGTTCATGCTATCGTCATAAGGTAAATATGGTAGCTGCTTATATATTAATTAAAAAACGTAGACATTAATCAGTATTATACTAGAAAATGCAAAGGATTACTCGGAAGGTGGACCCTTTTTTCACGGGAGGGGACTTACCTCTCTGCAGAGGATATCGGTGAATTCAAACTGCAGCCGACAGGGAAAACTATATCGAGGTGCCCATAAATCTGTATATGCATATATCCGTTCATATATATATATATATATATATATATATATATATATAAATATATATATATATATATATTATGAAATGAACAAAGTCCGACAATTATTTTAAGACATTTTTATGTTTATACATTCTTTCTTATGGATATAAATATTTAAGTAAATTCTCTGTTTGTAATAAACAGTATTAACGACATTTAGCGGCATGAATGTCCGAGAAATGTTCATAGAAAATATGGGTCCTCCGAAAGGATTCGAACCTGTATCCTAAACGGAAGAATCATATAGCCTGAGGTGCTTAAATGTCGTTATTTGTATCTATAAAAAGAATGTATAAACATAAATCTCTCTCTCTCTCTATCTATCTATCTCTCTCTATATATATATATATATATATATATATATATATATATATATATATATATATATATATATATACACAAAGGTTGTATGCGGCATAAATATCTTTTACATATACCTCCCACATGTACTTAGTAGAAATATAGTCTTAAGATATGCTATATTTATGGGATAAAGTGCTCAATATCAGGGATAGAGCGTGTGTAAATATAAAAGTGAACTTTGAAGTCAACACTCAGAGGCGACAGGCTGTTTCATGCTAGATGCAATCTTCGTGGCTTGATGATTGCATGTAGGATGAAACACACTGTAGCCTCTGAATGTTGATTCAATGAATATATATATATATATATATATATATATATATATATATATATATATATATATATATATATATATATAGACAGAAATAAAGATATAAAGAAAGATAAAGTGATGACAAAGATATTCTTTCTGTATGTTTTGTGATTTTTAATAAGTGAGGGCACAAAAGAAAATCCCAAAATGTTTGGCCACAGACAGCTTTTGTCAGTGTTTGAGATTCAAAACTCACTACTCAGAATCAAGCACAGACAAAAACGTTGTGATTTTCCTCATGTGAGCTCAATGTAATAAAAAATTCCTTTCTTTTCATTTATCAGTATATATATATATATATATATATATATATATATATATATATATATATATGTGTGTGTGTGTGTGTGTGTGTGTGTGTGTGTGTGTGCCCGTGCGTGAATTAATGGGTTTTATTTTTTAACTCGTCA